CAAACGGACGAGCAGGTGAAGAAATAAGTAAAGAAGTGTATAAATGAAAAATTGACAAAACGAACGAACGAATGAATGAATAAACGAACGAACAAGTAAATGAATAGATAAATGAATAGATGAATGAATGAATTTATGAATGAATGAATGAGTGAATGGATGAGTGAGTGAATGAACAAATACTTGTTCCATATCACTGAGGACATCATTGTCGTCCTTGGTCAATATACGCTTGACGAGATAAATTGCTTGATAATAAAAATATTAATAATAATAATACATACATACATGCATACAAACAAACAAACAAACATACATACATACATACATACATAAATACATACATACATACATACATACATACATACATACATACATACATACATACATACATACATACATACATACATACATACATACATACATACATACATACATACATACATACATACATACATACATACATACATACATACATACATACATACATACATACATACATATATACAAAAATTCCCAAATGCCTCTCACCATAATCAACTTCATCTACATTCTCTTGAACGGACGGCCAATAGTATGGAGCCTGATGATGATGACGACGTGATGTTGACGATGATGATGATGATGACGACGACGATGATGATGTTGGTGATTAAAATGTTGACTTTAATTCAGCTGGGACTATGCTATTGATGATGATGATAGCGATTGTAATGATGATAATAAAAATGAAGATGATGATTTAGTGTTGACTCGTCTGGTCATTGTCATCATGTTGTCAACATACACTCTCATTGTTTACAAATTCTTGAAAATCATCATCATCTCCACTTCGCCATCATTAGCATCACCACGACGACTACCGCCACCGTCAGCGGTAGCAGTAGCAGTAGCTGCTCCATCAGCAGCATTAATAGCATCACTATTCAAGCACTAAATGTCTCAGATCTTAATTAACTTCCATGTGTAGCAGAACGACAATCAATGCAATGACGTTGTTTGTGTTGATGATCGTAAGGAAAACGAAGATCAAGATGAAAAAGAATAAGAAGATGCTGATGAATATATGTGTTATAGCTCAGTCGGTAGAGGCGCCATGTTTCGCGTTATTCTTATTCAAGTACTGTCTGTCCGAAACTCAATGACTTTCACGCACGTTGTGTTTTGTGTGTGTTTTGTGTGGTGTGTGTGTTTTGTGTGGCATGTGTGGTGTGGGGTGTGTAAATGTAAGTCGTGTGGCGTTTGTCGTGTGGTAGATGTGGTGTGTGTGAATGTCGCAGCTTTTTTAGGGGCACGAAAGTTCTATTGTAATTATAGAATATGTAAACAGCTACTAATATATAGAATACAACTAGCAAAAACATTATTATTGCTAAAAACCATTTAACATCTACTCCGACAAATACTGATTACCGACCTGGAATAAGTAGTAATTGCTAGCAATACTATCTTCCTCATAGTCACTTCCGGTTTCACCTAGCGAATAAATATAATTGAAGCGCTTCAGAAGTCTTGTGACGTGACTGGCTTCACTGACGTCACCGTCAGTGATGTGCCTTGCCAGCCAATTAATTAGGTCCAACCCTGGAAGGTGTTTTAGTTTTTTATTTTGGGAGTTTGGTTTTTTTGTATATATGTTTTGTATATTACTGTGGTGGTTGTTGCATTTGTATGTTTATTTTGTGTGTGTGTGTATGTATGTATGTATGTATGTATGTATGTATGTATGTATGTATGTATGTATGTATGTATGTATGTATGTGTGGTCATCTTTATGTATGTTACTGGATATATACTCGCACGAAGTTGCTTGACACTTTGCATATATCAAACATCGGAGCAACAACAAAAAAATTAGTTATAAAAATAACATTATCATCATCATCATCGTCGTCGTCGTCGTCATCATCATCATCATCAAACCTGATATGACGTCATCCAACATCACGTTCATGTGTTTCCTCTTCCTGGTCAGAAGCGGCGACAGTGATGATGATGATGATGATTGTGGAAGTGATGATGATGATGATGACGAAGGTGACGGCGGTACTGATAGTGATACCTGCATTTTCTGTACCATGCTTTCCATCTTAAGTCGCGGTGGAAATTATTGTGGGATTTCAGAGGTTTTAGCTTGTGTACAGCTGCTGATGTATGCCACACATCGTACAAACTGATGTATGCCAAATTGTACGAACACATGCATACATACATGCATGCATGCATGCATGTACACATAAACACACACAGACATCCACATATAAAAACACATACACACGCACACATATACACACACAAACATAAAATTCAATGCAAAAATTTTGACGAAAAACGAATCCGATAATTGAATTTTATAAGGGTTTATTTGAAATTAAGAAATGTTTGATCGATCGTTTTTCCTGCTATTACTATTTTTATTCATGTTTTTAATTATTATTTAATTATTATTATTATTATTATTGTTATTTTATTTGAATTATTTTATTATCACTTCATAGAATTAAGCAAAATTGTTTGTGAAATCCATGCATTAAAGTGCCTGTATGCGTCGGTACTTGTGTCTTATCATTGCAATAGATTTGAAATACAATGATATTATTAGTAATAACATGGTCTTACAACAATTATACAAACATACACAAACATACAAATCAGCATACAAAAGATACAAACCAACAAACAAACATAAGAACCAACAAACATACCAACAAACATACCAACATAAAGATAAAGGGACATGCAAATTTTCAAACCAACACACATTGGAAAATACAGCAATGTACAAACATACAAACAAACATATAAACATACAAAAATACAAACAAACATACAAGCGGAAAAAAACAAACACACATACAAAGATACCAAACCTTTCTAAATGCCATCTTATTCTCGTGCTGAATTGAATCGTCGCCCGATAATTCATTTAGTAGGTGATTATAACTAAAATTAGTATTATTATTATTTTTAGAAGCAGCAGTAGCAGCAGAAGCAGCAGCAGTAGTAGTGGCGGTAGTAGTATTAGTAGTAGTGTTAGCAGTTGCAGTAGTAGTAGTAGTAATGGTATTGCTCCTGTTGTTGTTATTGTTTGATGTCGTAGTTGACGTCATGCTTATTTATTGATGGTTTTACTATTAGTAATATTGTTGTTGTTCTTCTTCTTATTATTATTTGTTGTTGTTGTTTTCACTATTAGTAATATTTTCGTTATTCCTTTTCTTCTTCTTCTTATTATGATTATTATTATTATTTGTTGTTGTTGTTGTTGTTGTCATTGTTGTTGTTGTTATTGAATTTAATTGCAACCTTCCACTATCTCAATTGCGCACCCCCTCTGGAGAGAGCAACTGATGATGATGATGATAATGAAGATGAGGATGATGACGATGGTGGTGGTGATTATTATTATTATTATTATTAATATTGTTGTTATTATTATTATTTTTTCGGGAGCTTTTGATGATGGTGATAATGATGCTGCTACTTCTGATGACGGTAATGACGATGACGAAGACGACGATGATGATGATGGTTGATGATGACGATAGCTTAATGACGTAGATAATGTTGACATTGTTGATGAGAATGAGGTACCGACTGATGAGAATGTTAGTTTTGTGTCAGTTATAACGATGAAGACGAAGATGGTGATGATGATAAAGATGGCGCGACGCAAATGATGACGCAAAAATTTCGATAACATCAGCCTCCATCATCCGATCAATCTTTTTGACAAACAATAGAATTGGTCCTAAAGCCTGACGTACATTGCATAAGCATTCGTTTTTATTCATATCAATTTACATATCTCATTGCATAGGTACACAAAAATATATAAATACAAATATAATTATGTGTGTAAGGGTGTGTGTAGTTGTATGTGTGTGTGTAGTTGTATGTGTGTGCGTGTGTGTGTAGTTGTATGTATGTGTGTGTGTATGTGCAGTTGTATGCGTGTGTGTTTTTGTGTGCGATCCCAAAAATCACCGTCATCATATTATAATTATATTGTGATCACATCATCATCATCATCATCAATATTTTTGATAATAACATTAATATTTATTTTATTATAACTCTAGTGTATGCATTAATATGAATAAATGTTATTATGAAATATGTTAAATGAATAATTGTTTCAGCCTCATACCTATTTGGGTTTTTTTGTTGTTCGTGTGTATTTCAGTTCCAGCAATTGAATCAAAGTTTCGCCTTAAATGAGAAATTAATTATTTTTAATACAAATAAAACCAACAGATGAGTTGATTTTAATCATTATTAATTATTATTTTTAATTAATATTAATTACTTTGTAAAATAATAAAATAAACTCATTTTTCATCATATAGAAAAATTTGCATTTCGATTGATTTGGTTAAATACAAATATAGCGTGAAAGCTGTATTGAATATAGGCATACGAATAAAATTGAATATATACCGGATAGATTCAAATATATTGATTGGTTCGGTTATAAAATCGTCCAAAAACTACATTGAATACATACAAATAGAATCGACTATATACCGGATAGATTCAAATATATACTGACTAGACTAGAATATATACAAATTTGAATAAATGCCGATAGATTCGGATATGTACCGATTAGATTCGAGTACATCCGAACGTAATGACGGTCTTATTTGACGTCTGCCTTTTTTAAATTCATCGTTTGCCTGTATGACGCGCGCCAACTATAGAGATGTTGTCATGGTGATAGAGATGATGACGAAGATTATGACGACGACAATGATGACGATGATTATGACGATGATGATGACGATGATGATGACGAAGATGACAAACATGATGATTATGACCGTAACATACATAGGAACCGCCAAGCGGATGTTCTATGTAGATTTTCCTCACATTAAAACAACAAAGCATGGTAGTTCCACATTAGTTGTTTCCTTGTTTCTTTGGTTGGTTGTATGTCGTTTTTTGTTTAAGCTTTTTATTTAAACAGCAGTAGCTACAGAATCAGCTACAGAAGCTACAGCAGCAGCTATAGCAGTTACATCAATAAGAATTTTATTAATTTGAGAAACTTATTATGCGCGTAATTCTATTCAATTCAATTTGAAATATGATAGGTAGCATTTGCAGGAAATAAAAAAAAACACTACCACTACTACTACACTACCACTACTACTACTACTACTACTACTACTGCTGCTGCTGCTGCTGCTGCTGCTGCTGCTGTTGCTACTACTACTACTAATAAAGATAATGGAAACTTCTTTTACTTGAAAAAAGTCGACGTTTCCAACAGAATATGAAAAGAAAATCAATCCGTTAATGAGAGAAGAGAAAATTGTTAATGATTTAATTTACGTCACTATGAAGACTCATAAGATGTTTATTTGGCATCTACCTACATACGAAGGATTTAGTCATAAATTGTTCCCATTACAATGAATGTCAAACGATTGAATTAGGGGCGTTTTTTGTAAATTTATTGAATGTATCAGCTGGCGAAGGTGCTAGTGGCTTAAAGTATTTTATCAGTTCTTTGAAATTTGAGACGAAGCCCAGTGTGGATAGTTCCCGGGAAAAGATTGTGACAATGAGGTCTTCATAATTCTTGAGTAGTTTGACATTTAAATCTTTGTATTTGTTAAGTTTGTATTATCTGCCTTTAAAAAGATTAGTCTCATGGAAAATTGTAATTTCTAGTACGTAAACGCTTTTATCTTCCGTTATGTAAATGTCAGGGTGATAGGATGGTTCGAAAATATTTGAAATTGGTTGAACTTCAGTCAGGTTTTAATTGGACTTTTTAACAGATGCTGGCGAGAATACATGAACCATGCTGTCTTAACCAACTTAACGAACTGTCTTATCAAGTTTGAGAACGTTACAAATTTGAACCGTCAACCAAACGATTTGTTATAATTTTGTTAGAGGCTATTTAGAGCTGCTTAATCTTCATAGAACCTGAACAGATATAACAAGAATGCAGCAAGATGGAATAAAAGAGTAAACTATGTCGGCGGAAATCTCAAAATAAGAACCACTTTGCTTGAATCAGTTACCAAAAAAACTGGTGTTATTTTGATTAATTTAACGTTTAGTTTGAACTTTGAAAATATTTTAATCTTAGTAAAATTCTTTTAAATAATAATAATAAAAATAATAACGACAACAATAAAATAGTAATAATAATAATAATAATATTAACATTATTAATATTAATAACAATAATGACTATAATAATAACAACAATAAGAATAATAATCATTACAATAATTTTTTTAATTTCAACGGTCGGTTTTTATGGCTGCTTTGAGCAAAATTTTGCGCACAGAGCACCAATTGAGGCGTCTATTAGTATACTTATTATTATTATTATTATTATTAATTATTATTATTAATTATTATTGTTATTGTTATTATTATTTTTTTGTTCTTCTTATTATTATTATTTTAAAATATCAATATAATTTATATTATAAGTTTTATTTATTTTAACTTTAAAATTACAATGTATGTTTCAAAAGGATGTCCCCCTTACAGCCATCATCATCATCGTCATCGCCAGCACGACCTCAATGGCATAGATCAAGTTAGTTGCTTTTATTTACATTTTTCTCACTCCATCAATCACTCCGAGAAGATGATGTCATTATCATTTTGACTGTACTGATGTATTTACTTCAGTACTTAAAATGCCCGTCTATTTTTAATGAAATTTTTTTACAAAACTTTAAAAAAATTTAATTTTTCCATGCATACGTTCATTCGCTCAACCCTACATTCATTCCTTTACGACATATTCCAGTTTTTTCTTTTTTTTCATTCATTTATTCATTCACTCGTTCGTTCATTCTTTCCTTCGTTCATTCGTTCGTTCATTAAATCACTGATTGCACTCATTTCTATTGCTTATTTTGGGTACAACGTGGTGTTATACGTATGCATACATTTCTGACGTATTCAAATGCGCACACAAACACACACACACACACAAACAGTCATATACATGCAATTATACACACACAAACAAACATACACACAGACATACACAAACAGTTTAACAACATGTACGTATGCGCGTATAATTCATAGAAGTTTATATTGTTTGTATGTATGTATTTGTGTGTATATGAATGCATGTATGTATGTATGCATGTATGTATGAATGTATGTATGTATGTGCGTATGAACCTATGGATGAAAACATTAGCCAAAAAATTATTATTCACATGTTCATTCAGATCATACACACACATGCTTTTTCTTCTCATAATTAGACGCTCCTCATTAACTTTTCCCTATAAAATTTTTTTCTTTTTCAGACACACACTACATAGGTGTGTCTCATTTGCTCCAATGAGGACGACACAAGTTTGTATGTTTGTGTGCACACACACACACGCGCACACACTCACCACACTCACACACGCAAACAAACACAAACACACGGTGATGTGATGTCAATCTTCCCTTGGGTTAATTTTTTTACGATAGATTTAAAACGAAATGAAACGAAACGAAACGAGACCAAATTTATTTGCTCCTTAAAGAAGATTCTAAATATATAATAATATATTATATTATAATATAATATATAATAATATATTTCGTTTAATCGTACAAACTATTTCGAGTTTTTGGTAAGAAAAGAAAAACACGACAGTTGCTCTTATTTGATATCATTAAAGAAACAAAAAATGAAGAAAAATTTAAATTTAAAAAAGTCAATTTAAAAAAATTCGGATTTTAAACAAATTAACGTAACACTCCACAGTAGTTTTTGGAGAATGATTCACGTAACATGAACATATAGAAAAAACAGTTCACAGCATATCATAATGACTAAATCAACATACCAAACAGAAATTATTTATACATGCATATATACAAAGTAAATCAAAAAATACCACAAATTATTTAACCAAAATAAAAAACTAGAAACCAGTCAACATTTTACAAATAAATAAATAGACATTACTAAAAGGATTGTTCAAAAAGGTAAAATTTAAGGCGACGACGAAAAAAAATATATGTTTAGTGTTTTGTTGGTGTGGTGCTGTGAAGCGAAAACAAACAAACACATCACAAAAAATTAGTAAGAAGTCGCAAGAATATTAGTCAGTCACCTACCTACAATTAAATTACTCTCAGGGCCCTAGCTTACCTATAATGGTTAACTCAACTCACCTACCTAACTACAAATTTGTATTTTTACGTTTTAGGAATTTTACATGTTTCAGGTATTTTATTTTACATATTTTAACGTTTTTATTTTACTAGAAACTTTTTAACTAATGTTAAGCCCTAGCCTACCTACTATTGTTCAACTCATCTCAATCCCTAACTTACCTATGAATTAAATTAAGTCCGGTAAAGAAAATAGAAAGTTGAAGAGAAACATAACAACGACACCGAATGAATGGATGTTGTGTATGTGTGTGTTGTATTGATGTGTGTGTGTAAATGTGCACGAGTGTACTCTCCAGAAACTTCTTGACTCGCTACTGACGAACCTCCATTGCACCGACCATCATCTGACACGTACCGATGGAATAGGGATTTTGACCGGATACTGATAAAACTAAATGGGAAAACAATTAATTCTGTAAAATAAAAAACAAGCCGTTGGAAAAAATAGGCAACTTACCTTATTGAGATGACACTCAATCCTTTGTTCAAATTCGAGTACTTTCAATGGTACGATGGGACAAAAACAAATTTCCCTTTAATGTTATCTTCGAATTGTCATCAGAACGATCATCATGAGACCACCATCTGAAACGTGCTGACGCCCACCACAGCCCACCTCTCATCATTCTGCAGACAAGTTTTTTTTCATTAGCGTAGTAGTAAATCAAGGAACAAATAAAAGAACGAATAAATGATTAACTGAATTATTGAATGATTGGTTGAATGAATTAATTAACTAATTAATTAATCAATCAATGATTTAATGAATGAATAGATTGAATGAATGAATTAATTGACGGAGGATTAGTTTGAAAAATATTGATAAAAAGAATAAATGAATGAAAAAAATCAAAATAACGAAACTAAACCATACCTCAAAAATCGTCGTTGTTGTTTTCTTCGAATTGTCATTGGAACGGTCATCATGAGACCACCATCTGAAACGTGCTGACTCCCAAAACAGACCACATCTTATCATTCTGTAGACAAGTTTTTTTATTAGCTTAGTAGTGAATTAAGGAACAAATGAACGAACTAATAAATGATTAACTGAATGATTAAATAATTGGTTAAAAGAATGAATAAATGAATGGAATGAATTAACGTCAATTAATGGAAGAATAATTTGAAAAATTGAGTGAAAAAATGAATGAATGAGAAAAACAAAAAAAAACGAAACTAAACCTTACTTCAAAAATCGTCGTTACTGTAATCCATTGAACCGACCATTACATTCAGGTCGGCACACATGATTTCATCCGAACTTCTGAGTGTCAGTTGAACAGCCAACGCGCTGATTCTTCTTACACCACCATCATCATACGTAAATCATCATGAGACCACCATCTGAAACGTGCTGACTCCCACCACTGCCCACCTCTCATCATTCTGTAGACAATTTTTTTAGTGTAGTAGTAAATGAATCTTAGAATTTTATAAGCAAAAATTTTAAAATGAAAATAATGGAAATAAATAATATCTGAGAATAATAGAGTAAAATGTAAGAAAAAACTTACCGTCGTCCATTCCACAAAGGCAGAATGATGAATGCCTTCCAGTTCCTACGTTGTCCTTCAAATCTGGTACTAGTCCTCTTCGAGATTGTTGTAGAAACACAGCCCGTGGAATGGAAAAAGAAAATATTCTCATCAGAAAGCTTAGCGGTGCTTGCATCTTAAATTGCTTAATAAAAATAATCTTAACTACCTATTCAATTACCTTAACTAATCAATATTAAATTGTTATTGGTACGATAGTCGAAAGCCCCCCTTCATTCTCCCTCCTTGCACAGAGGTTCACTGACAGCCAGGGCACCGGATAGTAAACCATTGCCGTGCGGATAGTAGACTATTGCCGTGCGGATAGTAAACCATTTGCCGTCCGGAAGCCGTGCGGGTAGTAGACTATGGCCATGCCGCATAGTAAATCATTACCGTGCAGATAGTAAACCATTGCCGTCCGGATAGTAAACTATTGCCGGCACCACTGGCCACCAACTTACCCCTGACAAAAGACTTTGAAATTCAGAGTCTATCGGCTATCGTACCCTCAACTTACCTATTCATTACAATTAAGCCCTAGCTTACCTAAAATTACAAAACTCAAGAGCCCAATTCATTGGCCTTTCGGCACCCACCCCACCACCTACGTAATGCCTTGGGCTCCAACTTAGTAATAATAATAAAAAACTTAAACCCTAAATCTATTAGTGAGTATGTGTTACAACGTAGCCTTAACTTACCTATTCATTACATTACGGCCATAGCTTACCTAAAATTACAAAACTCAAGAGCCCAATTCATTGGCCTTTCGGCACCCACCCCACCACCTACGTAATGCCTTGGGCTCCAACATAATAATAATAATGTAAAACTTATAATTAACCTACTTATCGATACACTTACAGCGTTTTAATTTACATTACAAGATTGTTCCTAGAATTACATCATTGCCCTTAACTACCTATAAAATTAAATTACTCTCAACTTTAGTAATAATAAATTAGAATGTGTAATGAAAATAAAATTACGCTCAAATACTAACATATGTGTTTATGTATGCATTGTGTGTGTGTGTGTGTAATACGCTGATGCGTGTAATGTGGGTGCAAGAAAAAATAGAAGCGATAAACTTACGCGCCTACCTATTCAACTACATTAGTGTTGGATGCTTCCTATCTATCCTACCTACAATTAAAATTATGCCTATCTAACCTACCTATATAGCTACTTAATGTAATTGTGTGTGTATGTGTGTGCGTGTATGCATTCCTACTTAATGTTAAATTACAGAGAAAAAAGAATACAACGTATCCCAGCCAGGCGTGCATTCTTTGCCACTGAATGAACGAACGTAGCCTGACATCTTCCATGATGAGCTCCTCTGGAAGCTTCAACCTGAATGAAATGAAAAAAACTTAATAATTATAAATGAAAATTGAAAAACGGGCCGCGGTGAAACCCGCCAGCAGAAAAAGCCAGCCAACTGGCAAAGAAAGGAACCGCAAAGAAACCGTAAAACGTACCCCTGTCAGGTGTGCATTCTTTGCCAATGAATGAACGAACGTAGCGTGACATCACAGCCATTCTGATTGTCCATGATGAACTCCTCTGGAA